GTGATCAGCTGGAACTCGTTCAGGAATTCAAGTACCTGGGCAGCTATATTAGTGCCCATGGGATTAAACATGGGGTCACGAACCGTATAGCAAAAGCTCGATGCTTTTGTTCATCTCCTCTACCTGTAGCACTGACGCGATGTCGCTCTCTCCCTGAAGGGTAGAGTTTACAATGCTGCTGTACGTTTGAACCTGGTGTACGGTTGTGAAGCCTGGCCCATCAGGTCGACAGACGTAAAGAGGCTGGCTGCGTTCGACCATCACTGGGTTCGCAGCTTAGCTCATGTCTAGTGGGAACACCGCATGAGCAATGAACGTGTTCGGCGTCGCTTATTTGATGGAGGAAGAAGGAATAAACCGCTCAGCACCATTATATCACACACCAGACTCCGATGTCTGGGCCACGTGTTGCGCATGCCAGCCCACCGACTCCCGCGACGTGCATTGTTTGCGCGCCGGGGGTGCGGTTGGAAGAGGAGGTGAAGCTAAGCGATGACTTGGTCAAAAGGAATGAAAACCATCACTTCGAACTTGTCGTCGGTTGGTGCATCCCGACTGCCTGGCTAGGGTCCGCAGGACGATGAACACGTTTAGTTGGGCACATTTGCTGACAAGGCTAGGAGTCGACCTCAAAGACGTTTGTACTGTGAGTTTTTATGTCCATCACCCTCTCCTTTGCACTCTGCAAAACAGTGTCCGCACACAGATTACTTTGTGGCATTTCGGGTGGTTGGTGTTAAAGTTCAGAATTTGGTCTGTGTGTGTGCCTTTTCTGTAGACCGATATTTGCAGCTCGCCTTTCATAGTTCTTGTTACTAATACATTCAAGAAAGGGAGCTGCCTTTCCTTCTCCAGTTCCATTGTAAATTGGATGCCTCCCATGGCGTTATTCAATAGCTGTTGTGCGACTGTTATTTGGTTGCGTCTGATTATCACAAAATTGTCGTCCACATACCGAACCTACAGTTTCGGATTGATGAGTGGTAGTACCTCCTCCTCCAATTTCTGCATAACTATCTTTGCGATGAGCCCTGACACAGGTGTTCCCATTGGTGCGCCTTTCAATTGCTCGTAAATCTTTCCATTGAATGAGAAGTGGGTCGACAAACACAAGTGGAGTAGTTTACATACATTTTCGGTCGTCATTTTACCGAATTGTTGTTCACTGACCTTCAAGCGTTCTGTGATGACCGCTATTGCTGTCTGCAAGTTAACAGACGTGAAGAGTGCAGTCACGTCGAATGATATCATTGTTTTCTCATTATCTAATCGCAGGATCTTTGATCTTTTGCAGAAACTGCTGGGCATTGGTTATGGAATATTGCGATCCATAGGTTAAATGTTTGAGGCGTCTCCACATTTCTTTCGCCAGGTTGTAGGTGGGTGTTCCAGGGAGAGACACGATAGGCCGCAACGCTGCATTATCTTTGTGCACCTTTGGGAGTCCGTAGAATTGCGCAATGTTCGAGTCGCGGGCTCTCATCCTCTCGCGCTCTTCCTTCGTGATTTGCTTCAATTCCTGAAGTTGCTTCAATGTTTTGTTTACTTTGTTTGTCAGCTGCGAAGTTGGATCGGTGTCGATGCACCTGTAGGTTGTTGTGTCATTCAAGAGGCGCGTGGCCTTCTCAATGTAATCCTCTCTATTCATTATGACACTTATTCGTCCCTTGTCAGCTGGTAGGATAATGATTGTTTCATCAGACTTCAGGGTATTCATTGCCTCTTTTTCTTGTCTGGGTAAGGCGTTGTATTGCTTGTGGTGCGTTATAGCAGGAACAATTGTGTGTCTTATTTGCTTCTGAGTCTATTCGTCTAATCCATTGGATTGTAGGACGCTTTCGAATGCTGCTAAGAAGTCGGTAGCCGTTGCCACAAAGTAAGCCGTGTGCGGCCACTGTTTCGCAGTGTGTAAACGCACTGCAGTACCACAGAAGCAAAGTGAAAGGAAGAAAAACGCCTACTTAAATGTTTCCAACTCAACGGATACCCACGAAACTTCATCCGAAGGTGTCTGAATCACAACAACGTCAACATACAGCCTACAACAACAACAACTGCAGCAGCAGCAGCAGCAACAACAACGACAACGGAGAAACTGGTTGTTCTATCTTATATGAAGAACATATCGGAAATGGCAGCCAGACTATTCAAACAGCATCATCTCATCGTAGCACACAAACCAACTGCCACGTTGAGAAAGCCCTTTCAAAACCAAAAGAAAAACTGCAGGCACAGGAACAACGCAATGTGGTATACAAAATACCTTGCCGAGATTGCGAAAGGGATTATGTTGGCCAGACGGGAAGAAAATTGGGAACAAGGATACAAGAACATAAGAGAGCCTGTGTAAAGCATTATGCATCGTCGCTAGTTTCAATGCATGTAGATGAAGAAGGACATAGCTTCCACTGGAGCAAAGCAGAAATCCTGGCACGGGGTGAAACAAGAAAAGAAAGAGTATTCTTGGAAGCTTGATTCTCAACGAAACATACAATCAACATGCGCGTGGACATCGATTCAATATACGAACTACTACGACAGAAAGAAATAAAGAACCTTTGGTCACACGGTTTGAGGTGGAACAACTCGGGCGCCGACTTTAGCCTTGGGGAAAGTGGGTAGATGTCACGGGACCTAAATCGACACTGCCACGTTCAAAGTCACTTGCAGGTCGATCATGGATGGAGGATTCATTTAGTAAGCTTGCACGCTACATATCACTGCACTGAGGATGCCACTTCGCATGGTGGTGAAACGTTTGCGAGAAAACCGTCAAGCTCGGAGAACAAATGAACAATTGATTCATCAACCCGAGCTACCAGTATTTCGAAACATTTTAAATGTCTCTAGAACAAAAGACCATCTGGTGAGCAATTGCTTTCAATGATTCATCATCAAACCATTACAATCATATAGAGGCTAGAATGAGAAATCGACCCAGTTGGTTCAAAATGACTTGGTCACGTGAAGGTCTATGTTAGAGTGGAGAAAACGAATTAGGTTTTAGAGGGCTAGCTGTTTGCTACCGCGTCTGGCCGAAGGCAGTCGACCTGGGCGTCTTCCATCTTCGCTGGCCAGGGAAGCTGGAGAGCCTGGACCAGCTTCTTCTGTGAGCATAAGGACGGCTGGAACAATCGAATGCATATTGCTTCAGCTGTCGCAAGCGTACGAAGGCGGTAACCTTCCGTTCGGTGCGGTGGAACCTTGTAAATTATTCGGAAAGTGCGTTTCCAATCCACTTCATGGCCGGTGTCCACAATGTGGGCCACAATGGCACTACTAATGGTCCCGGTGCCCCCTTGACGCAGCCAACGAGGGCAATGTTCGTTCACCCGTCTGGATAACTGCCGCGCCGTTCGAGCAATATACGTCGCGCCACAGGCGCACACGAATTATTAACTTACTATTGATGTGGTCAGCATCGGCAGCTTGTCCTTGTTTTGTGAACGAATGAGTGGTTCCGTTGAGAACACGCACTTCAACGAGGCTGCTGGAAAGGTCGACTTTACCGCGGCCGAAAGGCTTCTGGTTAGACGCTCGGTAGCCGCGTCCCCTTGGAATGGCAAGCGAATAAACAACTCTTTCTTGGGTGTTGTTAACACGGGTACTGGTTTGGATTTTTCTTGCAGGTTCCTTAAGATAAATCTATCGGGATAACCATTTTCACGTAGAGTGTTCTGTATAAACATTAAATCCGCGTCTAGGGTGTCATCCGTACAGATTCGACGTGCTCTTGACGTAAGACAGTGAACCAAGTTGCGCTTGTATCTCATGGGAACGAAACTGTAAAAGTTCGTGTACTGACCTATCCACGTTGTTTTTCTGTAGACCTAACGCTGGATAGATCCGTCTGGTCTCCTAGTCAACAAGACATCGAGATATGGTAGCCGATTATCGCTTTCCTTCTCGTAAGTAAACTGCACTGCTGCATGCACTCGGTTGAAGTGGTCAAGAATTTCCTCCGGATTAATATTTTTGTCCATCACAACAAATATATCGTCCATGTATCGATGATAGCGGTCAAAAAGGTCTATCTCCACCCGCATTTCGGTTCTCTCCAGCTTTGCCATGAAGATATTCGCTAATAGTGGTCCGAGAGGAGATCCCATGGCAACGCCCTCCTTCTGCCGGTAGTATTTCCCGTTGAATAGAAACTGCACATTCCAGGTACAGCTAACAGTAGGCCCTTGAGTTCGCGCGTAGGTATACACATTTTTATTCCTGACGGCTATATAGTCGCAAATATAATCGATCGTCTCAACCAGTGGGACGTTTGTAAAATGTGAGACGACATCGAAAGATAACATTAATTTCTCATTGATGTTACCATCCTTGATGCTTTCGACGAAATGGAAGCTGTCACGAAGGCTGTAGGTAGCGAGCTGTTGTCACACAGCTAACACCTGTGCCAAACACAGGTGAGACAACAAAACGAATGAAAACCTTGGTCAGGTGGATCTTTGCTAGCTCGCATAACGCACTCATTCATCTGCGATTGATGAAATATCCGTTCCTGTTGATTTTAGGTGTATGCTGGTATCGTGTTGTTTCAGCTACGAGTGTGACGGCCCTCTCCGGTCTTTCCGTTGCGCAATGACGGGAGCATCCCTGCAATGATCGGGAAGCGATGGAGCTGACTAGGGATCTCCCTTCTGCTCTCTACTACCCAATGAACCAATTTTTAAAGCACTGGTTATGTGAATCGATCGGGATACGCAACCGCAATGTGGACCGCGATTCCCATTTAAGTGAACCATGATCGATGCCATCATTACGACCGTAACTGAAGCAGACGCATATATAGTGTGTTGCCCGCCCGAAAACACTACACTCCACGACCGATTGGGTCCTGCATTTGTGTTTCGAGTTTGGTCTAGTTTCGTTCACATTTTAGTGCCTCATTGGTTTGCTTCCTTATCGCAGCCCACCAGCATCCTATCGGATTTGGACTATTCTTTATAGCTGTAATGTTTTTCGGTCCTGTCTATTTGCACCTTTAGCTGGCTTTGGATGTGGTTCTCAATCCGCCGGAACAAGGCGAACCGTCGTACGTCTCATTCCGACAAGAAAAGGACTCCGTGCTACAGTCACTTAAACAGAAAGCTCGTCTGGTGTCGAGTGCATTGAATTCACTCCCTGACTTCAGTTGCAATCCGGTCACTGGCGCTATGTATGCCTTCCCGCAGTTGAAGCTGCCTGCCAAAGCTATCAAAGTCGCAGAGGTGTGTTGTCCGTAATTTGACGACCGGTCTTCATTGACTTTTCCCATTAAAATTTGTTTGATTTCCCCATCAGCAGTTGAAACAAGCCATCGAGGGGAACGAAGTCAAGCAGTACGATGCTTAACTCATCCCAAGCGCGATTACTGTAGTTCAAGTCAAATCATAATGTCCTTTGTGAACCCTAATGGATTCATTTCCAGCATTTACACCACCACTGCGGACACCTGGGGAGAAAAATGAAAAATATGCACAACTGTCACTGCAACTACCGCTCGCGCAGTATGTTTATGGCTTGCACTGGGTCAACAAACAAGCGTGATAAATAAAGCACGGCCATATTAACATGCGTTTACATGCGGAAGATTAAAATTTCGAATTTCGAACGCGTAGAAGCGATAGAGCGTTTTTGAAGGATCGCTGTGTAGTGGAAGAAATCGCTCAGTTAGTACCTTAGAAGAAATCTTTTTACAGGTGTCAAGATGTCTAAAAAAAGATCAAATCAACTAAAATATCTCTAGACAAGCCGCTGCATCTAAAAATGTGCTTTATGGATGGTACCAGTAAGATGTAGTCTTTCTGAAGCAGTCCAGGGAAGATGACAGGCGAGCAGTATAACAAATGGGGAATAATGCAAGAAGTCACAAACTTGAATATTAATGTACGGGTAGTAAAGCACCTTAAGTCTATGGGCATACAATGAAAGTTTTCTGACTTCTTGGAAAGTTTCACAGACATCTGTAGACCCAAAGAGGTTTTGGGACAAAAGGACGGCGAGATACTTCACATTGGGTGATCTGGGTATGGGATTTTCATCCACAGTAAGGGTGGGGGACGGCAACTTATCCCCAGAGAGAAAAGAAAATATTACATCCCTGCATTTAGAAGCGTTAAGTATGAGGGATCTGTATGAAGACCACTCCATCAGATCTTCCAACCCACGTTGAAGTGATGAGGAATCATGCATAGTGGGGGGTCATATATCCCAGCACAACATCGTCAGCATATTGGCATCCTACTAATAGGGTTTGTACAGAGAGATGTTCAGCATCTAGGGAAAATAGGAAAGGTCATAGGATCTCTCCCTGCAAAACACCACAATCGGCACGGAGGAGAAATGACTTAGTACCGTTTAACTTGGTGAAACGAGTACGATCCGTCAAATAATCACTCAACAGATTACACACACCCAGATGAAGCCCATTTGGCAGGTTCAGCAACCTTGATCTGTCCAGACTTCCAAAGACATTCGAATAATCAAGGAAGAGAAGCCGTACGAATTTACATTTTTGGACTAATGCTGACGTTATAGAATGAATAAGATATGCCACTGCATCAAATGGAGAGCACTGGGGTCCATACGCAAACTGGTATATATCGTCCTCAAGAGTGGCTGTAAACATTCGCAGAATTAACAGTTTATCGAAGACTTTAGGAAGCACTGATGCGCACTCAAACGAACGAAACTTTTGAGATCCATTTTTAGATGCTGAAGTTATACTGGCCGATCTCCAGATGTCCGGGATTACACCCATAGTGTTGCATTTGTTAAGGAAATCTGTTAAGAGAATCAGCACATTCTTTCAAAGCTAATGATGAGAGAGCATCCAAACCACTAGCTTTGTCTAACTTTAATCTTTTGCGTGTCGCTTTGATCGACTTAGATTTGAGCTGATGATGGAGGCAAGGGGGTTAGATTGTCGAGGCGGAACTAAACTCAGAATTCATTTTGTTCACATACACTTCACCGCTCTCGCTGCAGGAATTCATACGACAGAGCTGCCTCGAAAGCTTCCATAGATCACGACAGTTATGATTGCCTATAGCCGCTTCGACGCATAAGTGATTTTGCCTTTTTCTTTTAGATTTAATTGTTAAAGTTAAACTCTTGACACGAACAGCCACCTTGCCTTTGTAAGCCCATTTTTTCATCTTTCTAAGTCGCAATGGTAATGAAAGTCTGTCCGCTCTTGGGTTCATCGTTTCAACAGAGAAACACAGTTCAAAGCAATATGTAATGTAGTCTACGATGATCACATTGAAGCGATGGGTCCTTGCCGTTGAACACCAAATAATCAGTTAAAGAAAACCTCGTCTGGAGCATTGTGATATTTTCGAAGGAGCAATTTCGCCGTTTGACGATCTTGAAAGGATGTCTAGTCAGAGTGAAATAGTTAGACTTGCTGTATATGCTTGGACACAATTTTAAAACAGTGCTCTGAGCTACCCAAAAGAGTCGCTTTTATGGAAAATAACTGCCTTTTATTTGTGAAGTGTGCTCTCCTCAGAGTGAAGTGAGATATCGCTGTTTATTAAGCTCCTTCGCCATTGATCTAGTATTCGTGTTCATTTTAATAACGATGGTTTTTCACTTTGGTCTTTTCACCAGAGAACATCATCATCACCAACAGCAGTACATCAGCCATTTGAACTGATGCTTCGCTGCCATACAATCATGATACCTATGAAATAAACATAATAAACGGGAGAGAATGGGGACTTATCTGAAAGCCTTAATGCCCTAAGCAAACATTCAGGTTCAAGACGCCTACACTTTGTGTTAACAACATACCGTCACAAACAGATGGCTCTCGTGCAAAGATAATGCGGCATCGGGGAAATAGCTTCCTTGCGGGTTTCAATGCCCTGCGTCGTAATCAGCCATTACCCCGCAGATAACTCAGCACCAAACACACGTTAAGCAGGCAGTCCGACTAGAAGACGGCAGTAGACGCGCCACTGGTGTCGGTTGTGAGCCATGTTCTGTAAAGTCTCGAGCCAAAGACAAGGAGAGTCACGTAGACTCCAGCCCGGAAGGCGAGACAGACCAACGGCACTGAGTTTGGTCGTCCGTGACTTCATTTCCCGCTGCCAAGTCAACTTCTGTCCACCTCGAGCCTTGCACCACCCTACACCTGACAGACTAAACAAGTCCCTCCTAGGTAAGCGGTGATCAGGCATACATAGCACGCGCCCAAGCCAACGCAACTTATTCAGTGCTATCTGTTGCTCTAGGGAGATAGCATGATTATCACTACCTAGTACTCGCCTACGCACATCATCGTTACGGACACGCTGGTGCCATCCGACTCCAGCAATGCTTCGCAGACAACGATGATCAAAGACTTGAAGGTGCCTCAGATCTTCAGACCGGAGCGACCAAATCTCACTACCATAGAGCAGAACGGCTCTCACTGTGGCATTGTATACACGGACTTTCAGACGGAGGGAAACTCCCTTCTGTCGCCAAAGATGCCGCAGGTTCAAGAAGGCAGTTCTGGCTGTTGTAATGCGTGAACTGACGTCAGTTTCTATGCTCCCATCGTTGCTGATGCAGCTGTCAAGATAAGTGAATTGATCAACCACCTCGAGCTCCTCATTATCAAGGGTCAAGGGGTCAGAAAGTGGCTGGTGGTCCTGCAGCAACACTTTGCACTTTGAAGGTGCGAAGTGCATACCAAATAATGGGACCACTCTAGACAGGCTATTCAGAGTTGATTGTGCCACCGCAACATCGTCGAAAAGCATGACGATATCGACCGCATAATGAAGATCAACTAATCTTCTACCAGGCAGCACTTCAACGCCTGCATCATGAGATTCCGCAAGGGAACACTCCATGATAGAATCCACGACGAAATTGACTCACAGTCTGTTTCGTAGCGGGATAGCAGCAATGAAGGCTTCGAAGCAGCGTGTGTCATGGTAAAATGCTGATCACGTCTTCGCTTCCGTTCATTGCAGCTCGTCTGTGCCTGCACCGAGTACGTCACATTCGGCACGAAAGCGCAACATTTTCCTTACAAGTTCTCAGTCCGATAATGTCAAACCCGTCGAAGAAGTATGTTGGTATCACCGCCAATACGGTGGAAGAGCTAGACGCTGCCGGGCTCCCTGCATTAGGAACGACCCAGGGATAACGAATAGTCCGCATACTAGCACTACAAACGTATCATTCAAGAACCAAGCAAACCGACTGTTTTACGTTAAGGAGCGACGTTCTTTCATCACGTTCCTCATCAACACGGGAGCGGAAGTCAGCGTCATCCCAGCGACCGGTAACGACAAGCACTCAGAGCCTACGTACAATTTGCGTGCGGCCAACGGTTCTCCGATGGCTTCATTCGGTCAGCGCATGATGAACCTAGGCCTAAATCTTCGCCGAGAATTTCAGTGGGTCTTCATGGTTGCGTCTGTACACTTTGCAATTATCGGTATCGACTTCCTCCGACATTTTGGGTTGCTTGTTGATGCTGGTCGCCACAGACTTTTAGACGATCGTAAGAAACTAGGTGCTGACGGTGTCCTTTCAGATGCCCCGATAATCAACCCTGTATTCGGATCGCAGACGCACCGCTCGATTACTTGAGCCTCCTCTCCGAACCCCCGCGTCTGGTTCGACCGGTTGTAGAGCTTCCAACGGTCACGACAGAGGTGGCTCACCGCATAGTTACGCGTGGTCAACCAGTTAGCGCACGACCAAGACGGCTTGCTCCTGACAAACCACGGGCAGCACGAGCCGAATTTGATCACATGCTTCAACTTGGTACCGTCAGACCGTCTAACAGCCCATGGGCGTCGCCTCTGCACATGGTCCCAAAGAACGTCGTGGTGGCCTGGCGTCCTTGAGGAAACTATCAATCTTTGAATACGGTTACCACGCCCGATCGTTATCCGATCCCACACATAGTGGACCTCACCGCCAGTCTGGCAGGTAAAAGTATCTTCAGCAAAATCGACTTGGTACGCGCATACAACCAAATCCCGGTAGCCGAAGTGGACATCGCTAAAACTGCCGTGACGACTCCATTGGTTTGTTCGAGTTTCTGCGCATGCCATTTGGCCTAAGGAACGCCGCGCAAACTTTTCAGCGTTTCATCGACCAAGCTTGTCGCGGTTTAGACTTCGCTTACGCGGATCTGGATGACATTTTAATCACAAGCTCTTCACAAGAGGAGCACTTGCGCCAAGTACGAACACTTTTGATCGTTTATCTCAACACGGGGTGACAATCAACG